TCATGAGTGTGAATGAGAAAAACTCAGGAGCAAAAAGGCCTGCAATGCCAAAAACCATTTGCAGAGCCAGACTCAGAAAGTAGATTGGCTTCCTTCCTACTCTGCATAAGACAAAACAAAACAGAGAAAAAGAGATGAAACAATAATGCTGGAAGTTCATGGAAAGTTGAGAAATCTCAAGGAAACTTGAAAATGAGATAGATAATATTCAAAAAGTGATTTTAAACTTTTAATTTTTACAAAAAATCAAATATTGGATATACTGTACAGTACAGTATTTGGAATACAATTTAATGAATCTTTTGATTTTATGGCAAAGAAGACACACAAGAATGATACAAGATTTGTGACAGAGAAATGAAGATGAAATACAAAGGAAGGTGAATATACAGTATTATATTCCTAATGAAAATTGAAGTGGCACATGAAGCTCATACTGTATCAAGACTATAGACATAATTTTCAGAATAAATTCAAACTGCAGTAAAAACTTGCTTTGAATGAAGAATTCCAAGACCAACAAGTACACCAACAATAAGTCTTAAACCTGAATGTTTCAGAAATAACCCTAAAATGAATTTTATCGGTTGTATAATGTCTAAAATGCGGAAATTATATAATGAACACATTAATTTTTTTACAGTACTCACATATCAGCCAGGGGCCCAAGGATCAGAGTGCTGAACACTCCACCAACATTCTGGGCAGTCAGTGCCAAAGTTGCATAATGCCGCTTGTCACATACCCATTGGTAGTCTGATGGAGCTGTGAGCACATAGTGCTGCATGTCAAAGTCCCAAGTTTCACATTCTTTCAACAAAAAGAACAAAAAGATATACTGTACTTTGAAATGTGTTCTTCTTTTTCTCAACAGGCAGCAGCATGCAGTCACCAGAGTTGAAACATACTTGGAGAATTTTCACTTTTTGGAAAACCTTATCATAAAATGATAAAAGTGCTGTACCATACAATACATTTGATGTTCAGATTTCTGTAAGCCAAATACCTATACTTATTTATAGCACTTACAAGCATTATACAGGTGGACTCTCTTTACAAGAAAGCTGGGGATCAGAAAAAATTTTTGTAGAGAGAATTTTTGTAGACAAATTTGCTATAGAGAGAGTCCACCTGTATGTATAAGAAGAGATCATTCTTGTGATGCAGATCAAAGTAAAAAAGTTCCACATACATGCATGACATAATTTTAATCTTCTTTACTTTTTTACGCTCCAGTGTAAACATACAGCCAAGAGTATTTGATTTCTTTGAAGTCAGAAAAAGTTAAACACATGCACGTTCATTTTACCCACCCAGCTAAATTCTACTTCATGGAAAGTACGCTGTTTGAAGTTTGATTGACTCGTCTATGTGCACTTCTCACCCATCATTTTAAAAACTCAAGATCGAAGCATGCTGGGAATGAATTGACAGTGAATGAGAGTCATTCTTCCACACCCAAAAATAACTCACTATTCGTTTTCGATGAGCGAAAATGAACTGCTTCTTCAATAGACATCTGGTGTGGATCATCTGAAGACGAGTGGTGTTGTAATTTCTCTCTCAACAACGAGATGTCGTATGAAGAACATCGAGAAAACTCCCCAGTCTTATTCTTCCTGTTCAAACCCAAAACAGTTTAATGTACACCATATTCTCTTACTTGTACAACAATCATACAAAGGCAACATTTTTATCTTTGGGCACTTTGAATATAAAATGGTGCTTCCTACATCTGTTTCACGCTGTATGTTTTTTATTTTATTTATTTATTCACAAAAAAGAGATTTATATTCCTAGTCTTCATTTATTATCTATAGACAGCTGCAGCAGGCGCACCTTTTTCCTCACAATTGAGAGACAAAAGGGAGTGTTCATGGGATGACATAAAAAGCATGTGAGAAGTTTATGTGTGCATCACACTTGAATCAAATGAGAATTTTTTGGCAGGAACCTAATATTTAAATGAAAAAATTAACATTAATTTGATTCATGTTCAATTCTCCAAAATAAAAAAATCAAAAAATCCAATATAATTCAAAGTATAGAGTTCCAATGCCTCTTATATTTTTGAAATATTTTAGCTTTCAGCCTTTATAATAACCCTTGTGAGGCAAGGTCAGGATATTTTTGCAAGATTTTGTGCCACTGAGTACCGAAAATTTAAAAATCAAACTATTGTACCAAGGCCTAAGTTGGGAAATAGTCCAATGTTTTGTTTTTTCCTGCAGAAAATTTTGAATGAAAAATAAGAAAAAATTCCTCACTGCTGTGTGGTGTTTTTTCCCTGCATTCCTGGCATTGGATTAGCAAGGGAAAATCTCGGAAACAATAGAAAATCTGCCTTTGGGATTTTTTCTGACTTAGGACTTCTCAACCTGGGAGCATTTCAGTGATGTTGAGTGAAACTGAAATGCAGGGCCCCCAAAAAATGGCGACTGCCGCTCAATGAAAAAGAACCCTCCAACACCCAAGGGTTAAAAATGGGCTGTTCTTCTTACTCTCAGGGATATGAGTTCATGAAAAAACGAGGGTGAACAATTTGGGGTGGATGGGTGTCTTACTTGAGGCCAGTTTTCACCAATTGTTTTGAGTCTGCAGACCAGAATATTTACAGAAATTTGTTTGCAGACTGGCAAGTGAAAAAAAACTCTGTTGGCCTGGAAAGTTGCATGAAATGTTTGCATACACTGAAAATATTGGTTTGAAAGACTCAATTTATGGCAGGGATATAAAATTTTCTGCTTTAAAAAAAAATTAGTTAACCCTTGTGCAGCAAAGTTTGGATATTTTTTCAAAATTTGGTCTCTATGCTGAGGTTTGCAAATTAAAAAAATCTGATTTTGAACCAGAAAGGCCTAAGTTTGGAAAAAACCAATATTTTTTTTTATATCCTGCAGAAAAAGTTGCCAAAAAAAATCCTCACTGGGTGGTGTTTTTCATGCATTCCCAGCATATGATAAACAACAGTGAGGATTTCTTGAGACAATGGAGTTTTCAGCTTCTGGATTTTTCCCAACTTTGGCCTTGGCAGCCTGGGGGCATTTCAGTGACCTTCAGTCAAACTGAAATGCCCCTCCCCCCCCCCCCAAAAAGAATCCCAAGTTTGCTGTAGGATTGGCCTGGAACCCTCTGCCATTTGATGAGGGTTAAGAACCAATGAAGCAGCTATAGTGGAATGTCTTCGAAGAA